TCTTTGTCATGTGTGGTATGACAACTTTATTCTCACTCAGTGATCCTCTATGATGTTTCCAATTCGATACAAAGCATTGGTTATGATACTTGACTTCCATGGCAATATAAACAATGTTGGTTGTCAATACTAGGTCAAAAATTGACTCTTATTTGAACGTTTTTGGTAGAAAATTCTTTCAGACACATCAAAAATACCTTCACATCAATTTCACTATAGAAAAGCGTTTTATTCCTGACATTATTGTCTCCAGTTTTCAATATTCCTGTGCCAGAAGATCGATTGACCTTTACTTTCATTGAAAATATCATCAATTCTCTGAAGTTCCCTATCGAATTGCCTCGCATAGTTTTTTCCGAGGTTTTTTTTGATATTCATACAACTTTCAAATGTTTTTATCGATAATTCTGTACAACGAAGGAGTTGACCATCTTTTCCACAAATGAAACATTCTCTCGATGATTCTGTACTCTGCTGGAAAGGAATCTTCAACTTCAAGACATATTCAAGATCAGTGTCTGAATTGCTAGTACTTTCCATCTTTTATCTAGAGAAACATATATTTTATGATAAATCTTCAATAATAGATTTCTTTAGCTAATCAATACTTATTTAATTATTGAAACAGGGCACACAGTACCAAATATCGAATAATTAATTCACAATAAGTCACCATTAAATGCAATGGTCAACGCCTCAATGTTGATGTGTATTATAACGAAAGCGTACGGAACCATGATAGCCGCGGGTATTGCGGGGAGAATAGGGGTACGAATGCGGCGATACGCGTTCGTCCGTGGTACCTGCATTGCATTATGATTTTCTCAATATCTTCCTTATTTATGCTTCGATTTTCAAAATCGAAGAACCATTCGCATACTGAAACATAGGCGCATCGACATTATTTAAAGTATTTTTCTGATAAACGTTGTAGTTACTGAGATAATGCGAGGTAAATGAAAAACAATTTAACGAGAATATACAAGTTTTGAGTTATAGGCGTTTGAAATATGATTCTCTCATATATCGTAATGTAATTAGTAAATTTCAAAATTTTCTATAATTTGTTCTACTTGTCACACGAGATCAAGATTCAACATGGTGAAAGTTCTGAAACCCATAAATATTTTCCACGAATAAAAAAAAATCTATATTTTTTTATAAATTACCCCCTACCCCCCAAACGCACAGGACGATTTTTTGACGACAAGTGGATCCATGATCTGGAGATGGTAGGTAACAATTCTAGCCATGTCACAGCTTTTTACCTCCGATTTCCCACGGGGTGAACGATAGGATTCGATTGGCACTCTACTATATCGAAAACAAAGCCTCATTCCCGGATTCTTGATTAGTCCTATATTATGTTAATATGGACTTTCTTACATTATTCTGATAGGAACTGCCATGGAAATAAAAAATCACAATAGTTATTTATACACCAAGGTAGTAAAGAATATCATTATTATCCCGAGGCCCTACCTACTAGATTGGTATTACTATCAGCAATTACCTTTCTTGGTAAAATCACGGCGTGAGATCAATTACTAAAAGTGCATCCCAAACACTTGGTTTTCTGTTTCGGGCCAGGAGCTATTTCACTTCCAGTTAGCTGCGTATGATGATCTATAAGGCACAGATCTGACCTGTCCTGGAATACTGTCCCATACTTGGACTACAGCACCCAAACATACCCTAAAACTGTTGGATTCTGTCCATAAAAGGGCAATTCGTCTCGTGGATGATGCCTCGCTCACAAGCTCGCTCACTTCTCTGGAACACCGTAGAAAAGTTAGCGATCTGGTTTTATTTTATAGATATTTTCATGGACGATGCTCTTCTGAAATATCAACAATTGTTTCTCCCTTGGCAGTCCCCGCGAGATTAACCCGTCGAATTGAGGCTTCGCACCACTTCGTGCTTACTTTGGAGACCTGCAGAACATCTCTTTCCAAAGACTCGTTCATACAACGAACAGCGAGGCTCTGAAACACATTGCCAAGGGACGTGTTTCCCGAGGCATATAACCTCCAGAAATTCAAGAAGACTACCAATTCTTGCCTTATTTCCCTTGGTCCTCACGATGTTCTCTGAACATTACAGGATATCCCTTTTCGTGGGAACCAGAACATTAAAAATAGTGCCATCCCAGCGAAAATCGCATCAGAACAGTTCAGTTCATGTTAATTACAACTATGTCTTTATTGACTAGTGGTTCATAAAAAAATGACGAAAACTAGGTACCTTATTGGTATTAAAAACACTCTTTCGCCTCGAAAAAGAATGAATAATGGTAGGTTTTATAGCTAGTAGTGGAAAAATAATTTTTTGGGCAAGTGTACTCCCATTTCATTTCATTTTGATCTAGTAACCCATCATATTTTGGAGGATTTTGTAGAAAAAAACATTCTTCCGCGTTTTTCTGTTGTGAAATTGTTGAGAGGTCATGAGTCATGGGGAAAGTCCAAGAATAGACAAACATTACGGGACTCTCAGTGACATTCTCCATTGTTCGAGAATCCTGAATGAAGAAACGGTGAACGAACTTCTAGGATAATATTAGAAATTCTGGATATAGTCTGGATGTCCTCGAATGACAAATATATACAGACAAAGAGTAAAACATGGAGAATGCATGATTTCATTGTTGCTTATACGAAATACAACAGTTCTATTTTAAATTTTGGATGTTTGCAGGTAGCAATTTACCGTCCGGTTCTGCGAGTGTACAAAGTGGCTCTTTACCACCCGGCATATATAGGTAACTCGTAATGGGCATTCCTGTATAATTCAGGTCATTTCTGTTCTAGTTGTGATGGTTCCTCATCTATAATATTACATATCTCTTGGTGTTTCTGAGATGCAAAATGATATGATCGAACCCAAAAAAAGTTATTTGTGAATTTGTGATGACATTAATTGACAGGAAAAATCAAACATACCGGTCGTACATAAAATGTTGTATGTATTTCGGGCGTAAATTGATTTTACGCCCTTGATACATCAATAACTATTGAAGGTTCTAAAATAAATATTTATACACCTCGGGACCTTATATCACTCGGCTCTGAAGCCTTTGGATAATATCTTGGTTCCTGAGTTATAATATTCTTTACCACCAAGGTATATTAAATTTTTTTCACCACTAACAATATATTTCAATCATTATATTTCTATGGTCACTATGAAAGCGTGCTTATTTTCTATTCTGATTAAAATCTGGTATAGCCATGACCATGAAGAATATATGACAAGTCGTTATAGATAAATGGTATAGGTTCCTACTAGATTGGATTGTTCCATTCCTGCGAATCCCGCATCAGAACAGTGAACTCGGGTTGATTATGATAGAGATGGCTATGTTTTTATTGACTAGTACGGGGTGATTTTCATCAACGTCACAATTTTTGAATAATTGCACTTTCCAAGTCATCGTGTATAATAATTGTTAGAATCTAAATATCAGGCATGATTATAGTCAGAATTAGATTATCTGGCTACAGATTGAGATAAATAACTAATAAAATCTCTGAATAAAATTCAGATATTTTTTTATCATGAAATTGATAAAAACTGAATGATATATATAAAAAAATATCATCAAAAATCAGACAAGAAACAAGACAGCAATTATTCACAAGTTCAGATTTTTTTATATTCTCGATCAAATCTCCTTCATTTTCTACACACTTTTCATATCCCTTTCGCACAAATTTTTAGTGATTTTGTTATTGTTATTCATCTCACTCTGTAGCCAAATAATCTAATCCTGACTACCATCATGTCTGATATCATTCAAATTCTGATAATTATCATGAAGAAAAGTGCAATTAGTCAAAAATTATAACGTTGATGAAAAACACCCCGTATGAAATACTGTTTTGAAAATTAATATCGGAGTATTGTTGACTAGCCCAAATCGATTGCCTACATCAAAATGTTTGTAAAAAAATGCCTAATCCGTTTTCTTAAAATTTGCTAGAGTTTTTGTGATCGCAGTAAGCTGAGAAATTGTGATTGATAATTTTATTGTGTCCGAAAAAGTAGATAATTTTGAGTGATATATTATGAGGAGAAAATATCTCCAAATCGCCCTAGGAATACGAAAGTACAGGGGTGGGGCGGACCAAATTGTAACAGACTGTGTGTAAGTAACAAAATAATCACATCACAATATGCATCTTGTGTTACATGCATCTTGTGTCATTGTGATCGACTGAAAAGTATAAAAAATCCCGTCCTCGTCGTTTCAAAGATATTAACTTGGTTTCATATACTTTATCCCAACCCTGCAAGGTTTATCAAAAATAATAAAGATAAAAATTCTAAATTCGAAAAATCAGGGGTATACAAACTCAACTGTGGATATTATCCCAAGGTATATATCGGTCAGACAGGTCGTACGATTAATCAGTGCATTCATGAAATTCTTGAAAACGGAAACAAATTCAACATACGCCAACCATATATTAGAATAAAACCATAGTTTCGATGATAATTTCGAAATTCTACACGTATAAAATAAAGGAATGAAACTCAATCATTTTGAATCATTAGAAATCAACAAACTCAAAATTTCTGACATTTTACTCAACGATCAATTAGACCTTAATAGTTCACCACTGTTGAATTTGTTTTCTTAGTGGGTAATTATATGTATCTGCTATCAACCCTTTCAAGTTAATCCGGTACACCGTATTTTAATGTAGATATTGTGCCTAATTACCAAAAATGAAGGTTTATCGAACCTGTCCACAGGTAACTAATCCTTCAGGTTGGGAAAGCAGGATATATAAGTCAAGCAAGCCAAGGTAAGTTTAGTCCATTGTACCAGTAGATCACCTGACGAAGCTACTGTGTTAGCGAAACATGTCGTGTTTTTGATAATTTTGTGAAAATCTTATCGTTTGTGAAGTTTTTACATCCGCATGTATGTATTCATTTCAAATGAGAAGTGCATTTTTCTGAATGAATCATATTTTTATTCGACAAAAACTCACCATTTTGATCGAAGAACAAGAAATTCGGAGTAAGAAAAATCGCACGAGTACGAAGAGCAGAAACAAACCAAGTCACTCTCGATGTCAGCGATGCGACACCCGTGAATCAGAATGAAGTCTTCTCCGTAGCCTGTGAGCTTTTCTAGACTTCCAACAGACGGGCCTCTGATATCGCGCATGTCATTCATCATAATTACTCATAATGCATTATTATAATATTCATAATAATAATATATGTGTGATATATGTCGTGAGTGCCGAGATTATCCAACGAAAAGGTCCACTCCTATATACAGGATCGTCCAGATTATAGTTTGTGAGTCTTAGTATCCAGAACGCGGAATTAGTTTGGCTGATTTCTACTCGAAATATTTCGATGTATTACTCGAAATTAGTACAGGGGTCCCTATACAGATTGCTTATCGAATCGTTACATAACAGTGGGTTGAAATTTGGCCTACCCCACCCCTGTTTTTTCGATATCCTAGGGCGATTTGAGAATTTGTTTTCATTATATAATATATGTACTAAAAATTATCTAAGTATATTCATTATTCCAGATTATTTGGGATTTCCTCTCTTCGTCTCTATAAAATAAAAATATCAATATTTCAATATACGTGTAGTATAAGGACAAATCAGATGTTTTGCCACAAAATGTCACTGCGTTTAAAGAATTTTCCTATCATAGAGCCTTCACTAGCTTTTCAGAGACAATTTGAATTGAAAAAGGTTTGGAGAATAGAAATAAAGGTATATAGAAAACATTTCAAATTTTCACTGATCTTTGGACGTTTCGGGAACGAATCTGCTCCCGTTTTCAACATAAAAAATTAATTTTTATTTGGCAAATTCGTATTTGTCTTCACACTTCTCAGTTCTCAGTGACTAGACGAATACGATAGTCATGTGCCAGAAAATTTCCACTTATTAATTTTACGTCTACATGCTCATGTGGATGGAAAATTTTCGAAGAATTTGCTGGTTACCATAGTAACAATATCGAAATAAAGCATCTAATGTGATCGGTTAAAAATGAAATTTTTCCATAAACTTTTATCATAAATTCAAAAATGTCTCAGCTAGCGATGATTCTTCAAATTTGTCAAAGTGATTGTGTTAGTCAGGGATGGTCGAGGTATTGTCGTAAATATGCTTTACCATAAAGTAAAAAAAATCGTCGATAGCATAGTCATTTTTGAATTCAGGATAAAAGTTCATAAGATATGAGTTCTTGTTCAGAATCGAACTTCCTATATCGATTAAGAATATTGTATACTGGATATCCCATTTAAAGTAATTGAACTTTTTGACATAACTCGTGAACGCGATCTTAGATTTTTGTTCAGTTTTCATCACCGTAATCAGCGGAGTTGAATCATTGGAACAGAACCTCACTTTTTTGTCAAACATAGAAACAGAACCTCACTTTTCTTATTTCTTTACAAATCGTGTTTTTTGGGCTGTTCATCAATTCAAGCATGCCATCATCACATTGTATACTGTTGTACAATGCTCCAAAAATGCAGCGGGAGACGAAGGAATCCCATTTTTCAGGTGGGTACATTGTGATCTAAAAGTACTATAATCACTAACATATGGTTTTTATTTTGAAATTTTGTCCTTTTTCAATAGAATTCCTTCTGCGAATGGAGCTGATAGAAAAATACTCATGAAGTTTTTAAAAGAAGGCATGAAGATTGGATTCATATTTAATATGCAAATCAAACGGGAGGACTGGTCTGACATGCTGACGTAATATGATCGTGTGTGTACTCTATCAGCAGTATTGGCTTTTATTGCAGAAGTGGCAGAAGGAATTCTAATGAGAAATGACAAAATTTCATGATGAAAATTATGTGAGATCACTATTCACCTGAAAAATCATATTCCTTCGTCTCTCGCTGCATTTTTTGTTCATTGTACAACAGCACAATGTGATGGCAAACTTGAATCAATAAATAGCCCAAAAATACGATTCGTATGCCAAAATATTGTGAAGAACTATTCCAATCCTTCGATTCCGTCATAAGCAAATGAGACACACCTTTCAGATGCAAAAACGTAAAAAAAACAAGGAATAATAATAATAATACTCTTTATTTTGGGGAAAACGTACAGTTCAAATGCTTAACATAGGTAAGACAGATTTGAACAAAATAGTGTCAAAATTTTTTGTGCTCCTGGTATTTATCTTCTCATTATAGAAAGGTAATAATTGTATTTGTTGAGTGATAACTTATTCACAGGCCGGTTTATATTTCCAGAAAACAGCAACCATGTTAGGGCGATTTAATTATGATCTATAAAAACTTATTTTGATTCTTTTATCATCGAAAATGACAAATATCCTGAAATTTACATCAATATGAAATATAATTGCTACTATAATGTGACAAACATCCTAAGGTACTTTCTTGCACAGAACGCAGATGCAGAAGTAGATTATGTCGAATATACTGATGAAAGTCAGACCCATAGTTAAACTGCATATACCTCCAAACATTCCTAGTAACACAAATAAAGAAACATGTCTCACTTATATACCCCTTCAATATAAGATGCAAGGATAGATATATTTATAAAGTGAGCAAACTCTAAAGCATCATACAGGGTGTCCCGAATGAAACTTTGGGATGATTTTATGTTTACCGCATAGGGCATGGAAAGTTTAGTTCTTGTACCAAATTGCATCATTTCATCAGGTGGCGTTTCGGAAATATTCAAGAAATATCATCTTCAGGAGACCCCTTCCAGGAGACCGTAGTTCCCTTTGGAGACATTTCTCCACTCATGTTCATTGAAACTTTTTTACCTGATTTTGGTCGTAGGAGCCACTGGTGAAGTTTGGCAAGATAATTTCGGGACACCCTGTATATATGGATCAGCTGCAGAAGCATGCGTTTCAGTTTCATCACAGCACCAGTATATCAGTATAGACAATTTTCATAGTAAATCACGCAGGTGGCTATACTTTTCTACATTTATAATTATATAAATATATGTTATGATATATTGGGTTATATCTCCTTCGTTTGATCCAAAAAAATTAAGAGATATAACAAAAAATTGTAGATATTCGTTACGAACAGCCTACTGTTCCAAATAAGTCTCAGAACTAAATTCTGAAATGATATGTCTCACTGATAAATACCGAAACGAATATTTAAGAAAAATAGAGAATGATCGAGCAACTGCTTATAAGACAACGTTGATAGTAACTCTGGTTTATGTACAATCTCGTTATTTTGAACTGTGATTGATCACCTGGGGTAATAATCAACTGTCTTGATATTTCGTTCTCTAATGACAGGCACGAATGAAGGACCTAAATTGAAATGACTGTTTTTCAAATAACCCCATCTCATCCTCAGATTTTTTTCAGACTTACTTTAACTGATATTCATATGTACCTGTACTCACCTATAATTTCATACCAGTAAAATAAAACATCCTGCTTATTGTATATCCCATAAGGTATTTGAAAATTAACATGAACGATACTGAAGTTGTGAACACTGCTACTAGAAATGAAAATATGTCAGTATATTTCATTTATAAAACAATATAGTACAGTATGATGCAAATGTATGGAATAAATTCATTATTTCAGAAATGGGCGACATTTGAAAAAATTCCAAAAGCACGTGAGTTTTAATTTCTGAAGCCTCATCTCATGATATTCATATGAGAGATGTTACGTCACCGGTGTTGGAGTAATGGACAATTTTTTCAAATACAAATAGGGGTTATGTGACACCTTGATTGAAAGGTCTACCGATCGTATATTCAACAGTCAAAATGTTGCATAAGAAGATTGAAATTGAAATGGATTATCATGTGATTAATTGAATCTTGAAAAATTGAGAGGTCTGTTACTGAGAATTGAACATCGAAGGGTCGTCTAGTTACGTCGAAAAAAAATTCTGAACTCTAGTTTTTGGGTTTTTTTCGAAAGTCGTCTTGTTTTGAAATGAATTTATTCCATACATTTGCATCATGTATAGCTCGATGACATGAGCTTATTTGTACACAATCATTTATTAGTTAGTTAGTTATAGTTCCTTTCAGATATTTACCCATTTATTATTATGTCTGATGATTCGCTAACCACATTGTATAACGTATCTGAGCATGCTGGAAAACAATTTGTACAAAGAAGTGAATCTTGTTTTTCCTTATCCAGTGAATCTCCTTGATATCCAGTTGGATACAATGTTCTCCATTTTCCTTCAAAAACTAAGTGTGGATAGGACACAAAAACTGATTACAAAGAGACTCAAGCATAATAACTAATCACCGTAGCTGAAATGATATATATTTCACAAATTTCATAAAGGTCAATAGCTTGAAATCATTATATACAGTATATGGCATTGTTCATCTATTTATTGTAAGTGATTGCTTTAGCATTCCAATAAACTGTGGAAAAATGTAGTACCTATATATACTTCCTAAAACAACAAATAAGTACCTATTAAGTATTATAGTTGCATCTATTTTTATTAACATAAGTGTTTTTAGAAAGACACGACCGATCCATCATATCGATAGGTACTTGACATTATTCTTGTTGGCGGGGGAATAGTTAATATACAGATTCACTTCACACCACCAGAATAAGAAGGAAATAAATTCTGCTATAGGAAACCAAAAATTTTGCCGCCTCCATGTCTATACATATATAGGGGAAGGATGAAAAAGGGTACGCGATTGTCATTAAAAAATTCATAGAATTATCTTCTTAGGTAGTCCATATGCTCGAAGTGGAGAGGGATGATCAAAGAGTTCAAGTTCAATGGCGATGTGTGCAGGCAATTCTGCTTTAACTTTAACTTTTGAGACATGTTTCGACCATTCAAATGGTCATCATCAGTCATAGTACAGAATAAAGGTGATGTGGAAATGACTATGGCATCATGCAGACGAAAATGTTTTTATTTATTTGTTGAAGAACATATTTAAATTTGAAAAATAAGGGCCAATCCAATTTGAATATGTTCAGCTCAGTTCTATTTGCCAACAGGGTTGATATTACATCATCAGTATCCCAAATTTTTAATTGGCGATAACAGTTATTTGTTACACAAACCGGTTATGTTGTCTCCCGACGCGTATAGCAGAGCTAAAATCGAATATTTTTCCCGTGTATAAT